AATCCTCCAAAGCTTGTTGGATTGCCTCCCAAGTCCCGGCTGATGGTGCCTTCAATAAAGTATTCCAAAGTTTGTTAAGCCCATAGTCAAAATGGACACAAATTTTGTTAGAACATGGATGATCGCTGAGCAAAATTCTAAACAACACGCTTGCCTTCCATTGAAAACATTATTTCTCATCATTGATTGCCTCCCACCTGTGGCATTTTTCCAATGCTGCGCGCCCACAATGTAACGCACAATCAATAAACTGTCCCCATAGGTTCGCATATTTCTAGATTGCACAAATAGTTTAAATCTAGAAGACCCATTGCTTACATAAGGGACAATTAATGAATTTCAGGACGCAAGCATCTTGATTCCATAGCCTATAACGACAATACAATTCATATTCAAGCATATGATATATCGAACATAAATGCAACGCGAATGACAAATACATATGCATAACTAGATCTAAGCACAAATAATCACGATAACCTTGCGCATCTTCTCTTAACATCTCAGAAGGCGATGGTTCAGCGACTTAAATCACAAGACGCACCAAGCTCTGATACCAATGTTTTAGCACGCCTAGAGCCGGCGCGGGTGCATTCAGCGCGTCTTAGGCTAATCTATCCCGATAACTGCCAACTTAAACACTACCATTAATAAGGTTATCCCTAGCAATATAAAACTACCAATAAGCATATGTAAGCTCAGGGATACACAGCCCAATATGAACCAAGATGAACTCATCATCCTTCATCAATGACGATATTACAAGAAATATGAGCCAAAGGCATCATATGAACTAACACAAGGGGTAAAATAAACAATCTTACACAAAGCTGATAGGCCGGTAATATGTTTCGTTTAATGAGCAATTACACGCAAAGGCGCATAGGTAAATATGAAAACTAAGAATAGAACTGCCAATGCCAATCACAAACAAAAACCATATGTTTATCGAGGGTTCCGGCTCCCCCACGACCTACGTGCCCCGCTCCCTCAACCTCGATGGAGGATCTCCACGTATCCACGACCGGGTTCTCTCTCTCACGTCACGCCGAATAACGTTATCACCTCACAACACTCGGGCTGTTTCTAGCGCTCAACCGAAAACTCTACAGTCAACACTCTTGCAATCACACTCTACACCCACTAAGTGTTGGAACTAGACGTGTCTCCCTCCAAGTGTTAGCCGAATGTTACAACCTCTCTCACCTACCCCACTCCTCGTTGCGGGACGATCCCCGACTCTCGGCCACACACTTCGCTACTCTTTGGGGTGTTCACCAAGTGTATTACAACAGCTGTATCCTCACAATTAAGCACTAAGATAAATCAATTGATTGTTCTCGTAAACCAACGGTGAGGCACTCAATTAAGCCACAACTCTTAGTCACTAATTCTCACAACCAAATCTATACCTCATGAATGTAAATACCAACCTACCCGCTCAATAGGTCTGGTGTGTGAAACCAAAGAGGCATAATAAAATTCAACCTAAACCTCAATTATGAACACGACTGCCTTAATAAAAGATAATCAAACAACTATAAAATATGAAGCCTAGATTGCCATGTCTTAGAAAACTTCTCAAATAAGATCTAACGAGCTCTGCGAAGGCAGAAGGAGTTGGATGCTCAACACCAATAGATGATCTCCTCAAGCTCTTGTGGAAGTGATTGCTCAAAACCAAAACACCTCAAATGCCCCTTAAAAGCCTTGATAAACACACTTTAAACAACACATAAAACCTTGATTAAAAACTCTCTTCAACTGTGTTTTTAAACTCTCACTTGGCACTAGATTGAAAAGACCATCAGCCAATGGGTATATCTATACCCACTCAAAGCTTCAGCCAAAACCCCAGAGCAAAACGACAAAACAAGCCCCAGCAAACAACTCCAGGAAAATAGCGTTACGAGACGACAACGGCTAGTATTGACCTCGGTCGCACCGCGAAATTCTGTACGTCCGACCGATGGAAAAATTCGGTCGACCGCACGGCAAAGCCTTCGGTCGACCGTTGATCCAGCGTCGAAAAACAAGAAATCAAGCAAACACTTATCCGGTCGACCTCGGTGCGGTCGACCGAAAAGCTCGCCGTACGACCGGACCCGGCCTCGACCCGACCACCTCTCTATTGCATGCTCGACGACCATAGCGTCAAATGGGGCTCGCGCTCGACCGGTGCGCGCTCGACCCCGAAAACTGATACAGCAGAAATGGATTATGCTGATTTAAAACACTGTTAAAAAATCATCAAATACAATTCCAAAACAATGTTAAAACTTCTGGGCGAATTGATTGATTAGACATGATAATATACATACTACAATGACTGGTTTATCAAAAAGCGACCTTCCCGGTCCCAAATGAAAAATATCATACCAATTTTACAAAACTAGTTCCAAAACATGAAAATGTGAGATACTTGAATTCTTGATGTTCTTGACATAAGACCAAAACTTGAAACTTTGTGAAAATATTTTTTTTTAGACTTAGTAAACATGTATAAACTGATATTGAGTCATATAAACTAAGAATACAATATTTTTCACAAAACTTGCATATTCTATGCAATGTTTTCAAAAACATAATAGAAAAATAATGAAATATAGAATTTCATATATATAACCATAAAAACTCAAAACATATGTACTGTTATATATCACTAACTAATATAATGCATAGAAACCAAAACTGCACAACGCTTATACACTATATATATGACGTATATATATCATATCACGAAGAAACCAATAAATGTCGCTGTGTATAGATTAAATTGAGTTAGAGTATATAACACACACTATATATAAACTCCTAAACTAAATTTTACCCCAAGCCTAATTCTTTGATCACTTCAATAAGCTCTTCTACGCGTAATCTGCGCCCGGGATCAAGCTGTTAACTTTGATCTGTGAACTCTTGAAATAGCCAAGGGCTTCACCGGCACATTCCGCCCAACCTCCTTTGGATAATGATCGTTGCAAAGCTCTATCTCCATCCATCATCAAAACGTTTGTTGTCTACAATATATAAGAATGTACAACACACTAGACAAACAACTTATAACTAAATTGTTTGTTAAACATCATCTAAACAAGAAGCGCCAACAGCCAAAAACACCCAAGGAACATCAAAGACCAAAAAGATACACCAGGCCAACGTACAAAAACTAGCCGTTCGAAACAGTACTAAAAAGCCATCGTCCGCGTCGACCAGCAGAATCTCTCTCGATCGGTTCGACCGATGCGAAAAGTTCTCGGTCGACCGACGGAAAATCTGCGGTCGACCGTTATCCAGGTCGCAAAACGAGAAACCACAAAGCTGACATCTTCGTCGACCGGTGCGGTCGAACCGATGAGCTCCATCGCGTCCGACCGGAGCTCCGGTTTCGACCCGACAGACTCTCTGTCAGCCCCAATGTTTTTTTTTTTTTTTCTTTTCCCTGTAAAAACCAACTGACCTCGCGTCGACGGCCTCGGTTCGGACCGAAAATCCTGACACCAGCTTGCAAAAACCTGATTTCGCCTGATTTTTAAAAAGCGTTTAAAATATCAAACAAATTTCCAAAAAAATGCTAAAACTTTGGGTGTAATGATTTAAGACATGCATAATAAACATGCTACAAACGACTGGTTCGACAAATAGGACTTCACACAAATGGAAAAAATACATCTTTTACAAATAGTCCAAAACATGTGCAAAACCCTGAAAGTTGCATATTTCGATATTTTGACTTAAAACAACAGTTTTGAAGAAACCTTAATGAAATGACTGTATATACTTGATACAAGGATATAACATCGTTGTTATAAGTCTTATAACCTAGAAATGCCAATCATTTCTTCATTAAAATTGCATCTATTTCTATGCAAATCATATTCAAAACACCTAAATATGAATTTCATTAATATAAAGCTTGTTAAAGGGGAAATCATATATAGCGTATATAAACATTGAAACAAAATAGTATTTTCCAATTCCTATTCATCTTGTTTCATTAGACTAAAACTTGAAAACTAATCAAACCAAAACATATACGCTATATATATAACTATTAATATATACAAATTCAAAACGTGTATGTGTGTATCATGCATTGCACTTAAAGCTACTAACACACATTAATATAAATTCCTGATAAATTACCCAAGCACATCTTGATCATCACGAAGCCTCTATCTTGGTACACTGCGGATGAGCCTAAACTTGATCTCTTGACTTGAATTGTACGATGCTTCACTCCACAATTCCACCATCAACCTCCTCTTGATACTGCTCGTTATGGCGCAAATCCCATCCATCCTGTCCACACAACGTTGTTGTCTACACATTGAATAGACTAATACAAGCCACTGAGACAATACAATCATTAGTAGTAAATTGTTTGTAAATCATCATCAAAACAAGAAGGCCAACACTATATTCTTATTAATTATGAACGAGAAGCTCTAAAAAAGCAATTAATAGATGTAATCTAGACATCTTTATTGAAGGCAATAGATGATATCTTCCAATAAAAATTAGATTAAGAACCAAACCACTGATCACGAAGGAAAATGTTAAATCAGTTAGCAAATAGAATGTAGTGCATCCGCAAATGCAAAATCTGACACAATGTCAAAATCCTATACATGAACACACTCCAAATTCTTATTCAGAAAACAACACACGCCATTTTTATTTTTATTTAACAGAGATTGTATCACAGATCAAACAAATATGTGCAGTGCGGTAATAAGACAAAGATAATAAAGGAATTACGAGGAATTAGTTGGCAGAATCACAACTTCTATTGATAGGTCAGAACCAAATTTGAAATCTATTTATATTACTCCAGCCAAAATTTACAATTAATCAGGATAGTATAGTTATTTGTTCGACTTCATTTATAATTACTTCCTGAGTTCCACAATCACATACATATAACTTTAAACTTAAGAAAAGTTTTAAACCCTACATACTGAAAGAATCAGTAGGATGGAGGATACACAACTTTCAGATTAAGGACCTGCCCACAAAACAATCAGATAATAACCAAGCGAAAAAGTAAACTAAATTGCTTCCCATAGTCAGACCTGCGACTTTTACGAGTGTACCTCCAATGTAAACCAAATTACCGATCGAACATTGACGGATCAGCATAAAAGCAAAAATAAGTTGCTCTCCATATACCTGAGGTAAAACATGCGTCGTTATCTCACAGAATTTGATTCGAAGGTAGAATGTTATTATGCAATGGAAAACTCACCATTTAAGCAACCCGAGTTATAAATTAGCCAACGAGTCAGGTCAATAGAAGTTATTAACAAAAATTCAAGATAAATCAGAGGTTTGCATTTAGTAGATGAATATCAAAGAGTTATTAATCATTTGGGGAGAAGCAAAAGAGAACTCACCCAAATGCAAGACAGGGTTTCAGTTCCCAAAACCTGGAAAAAAAAGCAAGTTATGTAACATGAATCCAACATTAACAACACTATATAAACCCTAGATCAGATCTAGGGTTTCGACTGTAGGGGAGAGGCAGGGGGAAAGGGGCAGGGGGAGAGGCGGCGGCGGGGGGAGGTGGAGAGAGAGACTTTAGAGAGGTCGAAACCAGAGAGAGAGGGGATCGCGAGTTGAAAAGAAAGAAAGGATTGGGTCGGGATTTGATAAATGACAGAGGATGGGGTGGAATTTAAAATTATATGTTTTGGGCTTTTAAATTCATCTTTGTTAAATCAATTGATTAAAAATCTAGGCCCAAATCAGAATCCGAACTAGATATTTGGATTTGAAATACCCTAGATTTTAAATCCAGGCACAAATCCAAGTTCCCAAACACACTAGTGTTTATGACCAAAGACAATAGGGGTGCGTTTAGGAACTTTGATTTGGATTTGGGAAGTTGATTTAGAATCAAGGGATTTTAAATTTAGGATTTGAAATCCATGATTTAAGAAATCTTTTGTTTGAATATCTTTATTAAATGAAAGGATTTGAAATCTTTGGTTTCAAAATCTAGTGTTTGGGTACTTTATTATACATGAATTTGAATTTAAAATTAATGAAAATTCTTTTAACTCATCTTGTTTACATCAAATGCAATGGAGATGTGTAAAATAGTAACCAAAAAACACAAATTTAGCATCAAATGCAATGGAGATGTGTAAAATAGTAACCAAAAAACACAAATTTAGGTAATTTTGGCGATGATAGCTACATTTGCTAAGTTTTCAAATTCATTGCCCACCATAACTTGCAAGAATTTCAACAAAATAAAAATAAAAAAAACTCTACAAATATATCAAGTATCTTACAAAAAACATCTAAATAATACATTACCATTGCATATTTCACAGATATCCAGACCGGAAAATACTTGAGGCTTGTTTCATATTTCATACATATTCAAAGTGAGAATAAGTTAATATCAGAGCAAATAAGTAACAATTTCATTATCTTCTCAAATGCAGGTACAACTGACAATTACATAGTCAATTTGGTCTTTGATATACCAAGAGAAATGTTAATAAGAAAAAATACAAAGAGTTACAAACTGAATAGCATGTGAGAAGAGAAGTATCCTTGATGTAAAGAAATTACAACTGAGGATTCAGAAGTGCTCGTATGATAAACCCTATCCGCAGCAACAAAAGAGGAATTCATTAGCCATCATGATATGAGCCCAAAACCTGCAAAGAAAATGAGCAGATCGATAATTTTTTTCAATAAAGCTAACAAGCTAACAAATTAAACCAAAATGTCGGATAAGTGAGATCTGTGAGAGTATTGGTTAGGGAAATCAATACACTAGATGATACACAACCTGGTGCAAGGATCCTTCACCATGAATATATTAGCAAAAAACTTGTGTAAACTATGTAGCAAGGATCCTTCACCATGAATACATAAAACCTGGTAATGTATACATAGTACAAACGGAACCTAGAATTGACTATGTAATTGTCAAGCAAGTGATGTTTACATCAGAGGTTTTCATTTGGGTCAAAGACCCACACGAGGAAGATCATTAAGTGTTAAAAGTTGTTTTATCTATATTATTAGCATACAATTCATAAGTAACAATCACAGTGAAAAACACATTAATCATTTCACCTTCTTGTCCATTCTTACAGCATTGCTTGTGCCTAGTACTTGGCTCATTTTGAACATCAAACAATTAAAGTTTGACGAATAGCACTAGGATTTACCAAAATGACTGACTTGGCTCATTTTGAACATCAAACAATTAAAGTTTGACGAATAGCACTAGGATTTACCAAAATGACTGAGTGGGGATAATACATCACCTATAAATTTATGCAAAAGATCAATTCTAATGTGACTTATTTAATAAATCACGCAAAACACGAGAATATGATGTTGAACCCTCTCAATCAGGTAGCACAAAGAAGAGGTCGGATTATAAAAGGTCTCAGGTCTAAGACTAGGTTACAACTTATCGATAAAAAAACAAAAAACAAAACAAAAACAAAAACAAAAAAAAAACAAAAAGGAGGAGGAAGAAGAAGGGGCATTGCTGATAAGTCTGAATTTTAAAACATCGATTACTCAGACAGACATGTGTTTCAAGCTTTTCGAGGTCAGTCACCTTAGTTGCCCTATCAGCATCGAGCATCAAAAGGAGTTCACCACGTGAATGAAGCATTCCCTGTTTAACAATGCTTTCGCAAAATTAAGAAGCATTGGTCAATCAGTGCTGAAAATAAATTCCATGTCCTCCCAACTAGCAAAACCAGTAATATATAAACATTATCTACACATTTATAATAGCTCCCAAATAAATATACACTCAAGTACTCAACACCAATGTCAGTCTTCAGGAAAAAAATATATAGAAGGCTAGAAGACGTACTTTTCTTATCGCTTCTGCTTTTCCGTGATTTCTTCCCAGTAGCATGACCCTTACATTATCAATCTTGTACTTCCTAACAAAGTTAAAAGCTACCTTTGATGTCCTGTCCTTAATTCCATCATCAACTATCAACACCTGTATTAGAGACATAATACATATAATATATCAGAAGGTTTTCAGGAAACCTTGAAAGCGGTAATAATATTCTACACAAAACAAGACAGTGTCGTAACTATGAAGTGTGACACTAAAAAGTAATAAACAATTACTCACATTTCACAAGTAACCAAGTAAAAACAAACTATTCATGGTTCTTCGAGTAACTGATAGCATGACTAAGCCTTGCACAACAAGTTCAGTGTGTATGCATTTCACTAACATACTTATGCATGTGATATTATAGTTCAGATTAGCGAATAAATGTGTTCTGTGCATGTGATATTTGAGTATCTACAAGTGTTGCACAAAATCATACCTAGTAAGTAAATGTGTTATCGGCAGCTGAGCGTCGCTGGAGATACGTGCAAAGAAGAAGTAATTAACAGTTGTATAAAATAAATAACCTCAAAATGATGTAATATTAGATTACCATCATAAACAAATACTAGAAAGCGTTTGCTACAAATGTTAATGCACGTGCTAGTTCATACATATCCGTATCTTAGCGCAAAGGTTGCACTAACTGTTTATAATTAAGGCTACAGTCTAATAGGAAGAGAATTAACATAGAGTCTAAAGTTACAATTTTGATTGTCAAAGGAACAGAAAACGTAAAATAGCCATTGCCTTACAGAAGTCAAAATGAACAAAAGGGGCTCCCACGGAAAAGTTAGCACAGTTTGCAACTGATAAAAGCACCTACGAAACTAGAAGGAATAAGGATAGAACACTAAAAACGAATAATTACCCATTTGTGAAAGTATTCATTTATGTTATTTTGCACAAAGAAGAGATTTGATCTTGAGCATTCTCTTGGCTAGAGGGTAATGTTTGTCTGGCTACTTGTTTCAATTGTTCTTTTTGTACTTGATCATATTCTCATAATAGCAGCATTAAAGGTGTATTGTAGCCATTTCTTCATATTGGCAGAAGCAGGTAGCTAACAGCTGAAATAGAGTGATTATAAGAATTCTCGGAGAGGAAAGATCAAGTTGTCACAAGAACTTATCATATTAATGTCAAAGACTCGGAAAGACCATGGTGTAGTATATGCTGGCCTTCCTTCTTTCCTTATTTTGCTTCCGGTATATTGGTAAGCATAAATTGAGCCTATGTAGTGATACACTTTGAGAAAGCAACCACTTAAGAATTTGATAACACAATTGACGACACTAACCAGATACACCAACTTTTATGCTAATAATACTGAAAGCCGCCCCCGCACCTGCACAAGCACACGCACACAACCACAACCACAAAGAAAAGGAAAAAGAAACTCATATAAAACATTAGATTATACCTTAAACACCTGCTAAAAGAATACACAAATTCCAACTGCAATATATGACTACTTAAATATAGAAAAACACCACATTTCTTAGCTCATTTTGAACTACTTTTCCAAGTTCTGTATCCAGTTTTACTAATATCAACCAGACAGAAACTGTCTTTCCATAATAGCAACAAGGGATTTGTTCATCATAAATTAATTAACCTAGTTACAAACTTCTAAATATCAAGCTATAAATGTTTGTATACTTTTATAAAAAAAATGTCTATGTGCATAAATAGTTGAGGAAAAGAAAACAGATGTCTAACCAACAAACACAAACAAGAGAGATGTTGTGTTTAATTGTCTTTGTACATGTGAAAAGGCCATGACCTCAGAAAAGGCAAAGCATACATTTTACTTCTTGTGTTTAATTGTCTTTATACCCTGTTATATTTTAAATGTAAGGTATATGTCATTGTATATATGTTTTATTTTTGAATGTGTTTAGTATTGTTGAACCTCAGAGCTTATGAACGATTCATCAAAGGTAACCAATATTTCTCATTTGTTTGACAATATTGCGCATGTCACACAGCAAGGCTGGAAATGGGTTCAGGATGGCCCTCAGCTGTATGGAATTGTGGCGAGGAATCATGAATATAATTCTATATTCTAACAACTCGTAATGTTGCTCAACTTATTACTAAGGCCGACCAATAAGAGCTTAAATACTGAATTTTTTAATAGGTGCAACACTATAAGACAGCTGAGGTTTCAAACTTTAATATTCCAACTCAGTGATACAATTTAATAACTGAGAGTGCAATCTAACCTTCTACAATCACACTCATCAACTGTAGGGGACAAATAATACAAAAAAGATACAGAAGAGAATTATATAGGCTAGAATCAAAATTACTTTCTAATATTTGAAGATTACACACATATCCTGAATAAAAGTTGAAGATAATAGATTGCAAAGGTATATAAGCTGAAAATTAAAGCAGGAAAAAAGAAAATAATCCAGAAATACTGGTGAACTAGAGAGCCATCCAGTTCCTCCTCCTAACTTGAACAAAAAAAAATTGTGCCCTAGAATCAATAAAATCCAACTTCAGCGCGAAAGAAACAAAGAAAAAAAATCACATATTAGAATCACAAGTTAATGAGAAGAAGAATTAGAATCATAGAAGGATCATTACCAGCAAGCGCTCCTCTTTGCTGTTGTGGACGAAGAACGAACCGAGGAGAGAGAGAGAGACAGAAGGAGGGGGGAGGGAGAGAGAGAGAGAGAAAGAAACCAAAGAGAGAGAGAGAGAGAGAGAGGGATCGGGACTTGAAAAGAAAGAGAGGATCGGGTCGGGATTTGATAAATGACGACGGGTGGGGTGGAATTTGAAATTAGTTGTTTTGGGCTTTCAAATTCCTCTTTGTTAAATCAATGGATTCAAAATCTAGGTTCAAATCAGAACCCAAACTAGACATTTGGATTTGAAATACCCTGTAATTTAAATCCAGGTCCAAATCCAAGTTCACAAACGCACCCTAGGAGAATTTTTTGGAAGAGACCAATTTTAGAAAATAATTAGCAAAATCGACATATTTTTGGCCATGTCATCAAGGCCAGCCAGAAAGATATCGATTTTGCAAAATATCTTGTTTAGATAATACAGGACTAGTAGTCACGTGTGTTTAGCAATTGATAATTACGGGAAAAAAATCAAACTTTATTCCCTCTTTTGATTGCAACTGCGAGTTTCAATCCATTTATATCCTCCGTGGGGCATGACTCATCTCTCCTACTCTCGCAGAACTTTCGATCCCTCAACATCCTCGCCTCCTCGGCCTCAATGCCATCCAAACATTCATCTCTTCATCTCGATGAATATCCTGAAGGAGGGTCTCAGCGTCTCGGCTAAGGAGATGAATAGCAAGATCACGGAGTCTCAGACATGAAGGGCTGCACTGCCGGTGGGTCGAGATTAGGGTTGGAGATGGTGATTAGGTTTCAGCGAGGACGAATTTGACGGAGCCGGCGGTGGTTTGTGGGGCGTTTAGGACGATTTTTGGCAGGGTAGCGTTGAATTGTGGGAAGGTTGAGGTCGCTGGTGAGGATTTCTCAAGGATTCATGAGGAAGATTGTGGCTATTGACAGTGGTTTGTGAGGTTTTTTCGCGTTGGATTGGGGGAAGGTTGAGGTCGTTGGATTGTGGAAAGGTTAGGGTCGCGTCTCTACCAAGCTATTTAAACGGAACTATTAGTCTCGTTTAAATCATAAGAAATAGATTAATCTTAATTACAGACCACTAATTACACATGACGTGTTACATTATATTTTGCAAAATCGACCTCTTTTTTTGCTAGCCTTTATGACGTGGCCAAAAAGATATCGATTTTGCTAAGTATTTAACAAAATGGTCGATTTTACCAATTACTTTTCTAAATGGGTCTCTTCCAAAAAATTCTCCTAAGACAATACTACATCCTATGAGAAAAAAAAATGAACGTTTTCACTTCGTTTTCGCCTGACCCCCAAAAACTCTATACTATTTATTGACCCATAATTTGTGTACCAAGAAAGAGGCAACTGGTATTTGGTCTCTTTTTTGATGTCCGGGTCTTTCTCCAATCTAAATACAGTTTATACGAATGAATACAACTTGCTACAAGGAAAGTACAAGGCATTATTCATTTGATAAACAAACAGGAGACACCATAAATTCAAGAAGTGACCAAGAAAATTCTCCAAAGGTCCCTTTCTCCTTATATTGAAACCTTCAGCATGAATTTCATTCTTATAACACCCTAAATTTCGCATTTTCCATAGATACAATGAAGACCAACGTAAATATTTCACAACAATGCCCGCTGAAATTAAATATACATGAGGTGTATCTCCGAAACAAATATCAATATTAACCTTGATAGCTCATCAGCTCCATCTACAGGGGTTGCCGCTGATTTTCTGCCTCAAAAATAAATAATCTGACCAGGAATTTCTCCCAACAGCAACCATCATAATGATTCTGTATGTCCAATTACGGTTGGAGAATCATACAGCTGTTAAGATGCCTTATATTCGTGCAGTTTCTTCCACATGCACCTTCAATATAGCTCATAATCATTTTACCAGCAGCCCCCTGTGCCACTTCTTTCCTTCTTCTCCCAAATTTCATGTCACTGATTTGGTCAGAACTCATTGTCCTCAGTTTATTTCTCACCTTGCTGAGTGCTGAATTCAGCGATTGGATTCTTAGATCCAGTCCACGTGTGAGAACAGAATAGCTAGTTGCGACGATCCAGTCCACATGCGAGAACAGAATAGCTAGTTGTTGCAATACGTGACTTTTGATCCACATTCCACATATTAACTCGCACATATTCGTTGGTAGTTCATGTAGAAATAAGCACCAAATGTAGAAAGTAGCTTCATGAAGAACTGCTGAGACTTTGCTATATGATGTTTTATTTCTGATTAATATTGGTCACAGAAGCGCTTTCAGTGCTCAAGATCCTGATGGTAATCAGCTTGAGCTATGGAACCATTCCGCTGTGGCTCTTCATCTAGCAAGGGGCAACACTGACCCTGAACTGCCTTCTTCATGCTATGATGCAGGTCACAATAACATGTACTATGAAACCTTCTCCTTTTCTCTAGCTGCTGCTGCTCTCTCTTCTTCAGCGCGCACGTGAAGTTCCTCATATGCTTTCACGGTAGCTGCCGAGAAATTCTCCATAGCTTCAAAGATCTGTCTCAAACTACCTTGAAGGTTGTTGCTTGCTTCTGCATGTTCAGAGAGGGAAAGCCCACCTTGGCCAGAGACAACAACCAATTTCTTGTTTTGTGCTTCGATAGCCCTACGCATTTCTTGTTCCTCCCTCTCCATGATCCTCAGTGTCCTATCCATATCTTTATTTGCCATTAACCTCTGCCTCTGCTCAAAGTTGTGCTTCTCCCAGAGTTGAAGGACATTGGAAGCAAAAGCTTGCATAGCATCAATTACTTCACTCTCCGATATTCTCTCCATAGTTTGTGCCCAGTGATTACAGATAACAAACACAGGAGGAGCTCCTAATCGTCCAGGAGAGAAAGGCGCGGGCCCATCTGGGGTTTCCTCAGGAACATAGCGAAGGCCTATTATAAGCCAGCCATTCAAGGCCTTGACGTAGCTCTTCTGAGCGCTAATCCAAGAAGAGAAACTTGTCACCCACTCGAGAAGTTCGAGTTCGAGCTGTTTTGTTACTTCCATATGAGCATCACTGATCCTTCCACCAGAAGCGAAAGAATCAAGATTTTGAGCTTCAGAAAGGGCTTGACATTGTATCCGGTGGCATTCTAACATAACACTCCACATCCTCATTAACCTGCAGAAAAATGTAACAAATTTAGCTGTAACAAACTTTAAATGCAAAACGAAATTATACAATTTGGATGCAACAAATCTTAGAATAAAAATAAGCATATAGGAATAGCTTAGCATGCGGCAGAGACTAGTCAATTTTAAAGTTGTAGTGGGATTGATGCATGAAAGAAAAGCATACAGGATGTAATGGGTTCGCTACATGAAAGAAAAGCATACAGGGATGTAACAAACAGTAGAACTCCAACCTTGACAAAGGAGGCAAAGGAAAATTATATTGAGCTGAAAATAAGCATAGGTACAAATAGAAGTTAAGAAACAGACTTTTTGATGTTCTATTATCATTGGTTGACAATTATGACCTGACTACGAAACCATCAATGTATTCGTCATCCCGTATCATATTCAAACAAAACCATTAGAAGTTCAACCATGTAAAATCAGGATAAAATAATGTCTAAGCAGGATAAAAGATTCCTAATAACAAAAAACGGGTTCAACTATAATATAGAAGGAAATTCAATATTCCATAATAGCCACAACTAGAGTGTCAATGCAATCTTAATGGCTAATATGAAGGAACCTGAATGCCTGGTATTCACAAATCATGTTTGTTCTATTATCAGGGAGCATTGTCAATAGACAGCAAAGTCCATGAACAAGAGCCACAGAACAAATGTGATCTTTGGTAGAAAAAGAAACACATGATAACATCTCTATAAATAAAAGGCATATGGGCTATAATTAACTAAACATATGATGGGAAATTTTGCAAGTATTGAAAGTTTCAGCGGGCTAATAAAATATAAGTTGTTAAATATATTTTTCGCATTGTGCATACGCTGTGGAAAGGCAGTTAATAAATGATTTATAGAACATATTTAGTTTTTATAGAATCATATGTTTAACAAAGATCACAGCCTTGTGTCAAATAAAGTATTCAACAGGACTTTTGTGATTTAATGAAATTAAAAACTGTATTTAGTGTTGGCATGTACTTCCTTACAGGGTCTTACATTGTCATTAGTAGGACTCTTCATAATATCATGGTAGCATGCCTAGGTTGTTGTCTCTCTATAAGAACAGACACTTCCATCATCGAACCATGTTTTTCACATACATGTCCAGAACAACAAGTATTTACTTTGTCATTGCCCTATTTTAGGTGCAATTTCAGAAATTACCATGTATGCGTTATTACATTGTCTCATGTTGTGTTATTGCCTATGCTCGGTAGGAGCCACAACATTCACGCTAAATATAATTATTCACGCTTTAACTGGAAGACCTATGATTTGTCTGTCAAAATAATTGTCTCTCTCATTCTGCTTCTGTTGAAAAGTTGATTGGATATCGACATAACTATGGGTAGATCCACATTTTTTAGAAGTTGATCCACCATTTTATCCCGTTAAAGAGCAGATTGCATTGGTATACATAAAAGTTTTCTTTAAGAATCCAGCCTAAATTTAATTCTTTGAATGGTGCACTGAACACCATCTAACAATAGGTACTCAAGTGTAGATACATTTCTCTTCAATGTTGGTCTTAAACAAGTGTCCTGTATCTCTGTCAATGATGGATCTGAAATAACCCTCGCTAAAACCTGCAAACAAATCTAGTATGCAATTATGACTTTCATATTCAATTTTGTGAAGGGAAGGCCTTATTCTATCCCACCATTGTTCTAAACATCCAGAACGTGTTGGACAAGATGTTTTTAGCATTCAATGCCACAACATAAACATAGAATATAGATACAAATTCTGAGATCATTTCAATGTCATGACCAAGATAAGGTACTTAGGGAGCATAAAGTTTACATGAAATGGTGAGTGCGATGGAACATTATTATATAAACATGATGAATTCTGAGGTAACAAATGCTTGACATAGTCCACCTTCTGGATTTTATTCTCATCTAGGTATGTTTACTTATAGAAAGAACCATATTAATATGTGATTAATCTTACTATAAATAATACATAAAATAACATGGTAAAAGTTCCTACTTAAAGACGGTGTGCTCACTGTATGCATCATTTTACAAATTTTGTAAATTCTCTTATTTTATCCTAGTTTGGCAAGGAAAACCCAATGCACAATAACATTGAATGTTTGGCCTCAGAAGTGCATTAACAGCGTGGTATGGATGTAAAGTACTATCCAAGTGAACCATGTGGAACAGTAACTTTTGAATAAACGGGAAACTATATATGTAGGAAAGATAGTTATATATGTGTATATCTATATCCATACATATAGAGAAATATAGACTCATACATTCATTTGTAATTACAGAAAAATAGATGAAGTCTCAAAGCATAAAGTCTACAACAATCAAAATTATCATGAGTGTCCTTAAAAGCAAAAATAGGAGAATCATCAAAAGCATAAAACTCTGTGGGATAATAAAAGTTGAAGCATCAAGAGAACGCCAAATGTGCCATGTTGTCTATGCATCAAGACAAAAAAGGAAATTTGCTGATGTGATGTGTCCAGATAACTCCTGGATATAATGCCGACTAGATGTTTGGACATGTGTCATTAGAACACAGAAGCTTTCCTTAGTTTCTTAAAACTTCGCGCATTCCTTTTGGTACTCAGTGGAATTTCATTTATAGAATATGACTGAATTGCATTAACTTAATAGTAATCCGAATCTACTAAGAATAGTATTATATTTAAAAAAAAGTATCAAAACAGCTACCTATCTATCCATATATCACACCCATTAATGTAACTTCATGACCTATAAGAAACAGAAGAACAAGGTGTTTTCAGACAAAAGGATTTGGTTTAAAACCTCAAGTCCTGACCATTCAACATCATGTGCCAAGTTCAAAACTCACTATAAAGCAGTTTTACTCAGCTCTTAAGGAAGTCACCAATTTCTGTTTATTATGAGTTGCCATCCCATCATACGTTTAAAACTTTGGACACAGAAAGGTGAACACCGATACGTTAAAAACCGTATAGCATCTAGGAATAGTTGGTACCCTGTGGCAAATACGCTTTTTTTTTACAAATATAATAAGATGATTTTTACAAACATAATGTGATGTTCCTTATCACAAGTAATCTGGGCAATGTAATGATGATGATTATAGCTATTCTAAGCTCTCAATAGATCCATGTATCTATGGTTTCAAACGTCAGAAGCCATGTCTTAACATTTGGTGTTAAATGTTGCTTTTACACACTCCACACCATGCATGTAGGAAGATCTGTTTATAACTTATTCTTTCGATATCAACTATTTTGGATTTGACACCGACATATTACTAGATAATTGCTCATATTAAGTCCTATCTCACGTTTGAACAAAAATGTACGAGTTTCATGCTATATTGCGTGAATACTTTGATCACATAATTATACCTGTATCCAACATTTAAATACCTAAATGGATGAATACTTCCTCGATACTTCTACAACATAACTAGAAATTCATAATACATCACAAACATATCAAAGATTACAATAGATAAAGTGAGGACTAGGACTACATGAATATTAGATTTACAATTTCTTTTGACTTGTGATGCAGTTCATACAACTTGACCAATTTCATAACATAGAAATCTTTTATATTGCTTAACTAGTGTGTATTTTCAATCATTATCACAATCCATGATACAAATATACAGCATTAATATTCCTACAAATATTTTTTTTTTGCCGTAACCACAATGTCAGATCTTGAATTTTCAGAATTACTAAACATTACCCATATAGTATTGTATCAATACTATTATACTTACTGGTGCAACCATGCTCTGCTATTGTTCATCATGTGGATATGTCTCCGTTCATGTGTTCGTGTTTATGTTATTTTACTAGAGGAATGAAAATTAGGTTATCAAGTTTATGTCGTTTTTTAGGGGTGCCTATGGGATATAATACACACACGGGCGTATGTCAAGGTAATGATATGAGTTACCATCTTATTTACCAAAATGACCTGCCACCTCATACCCAATTTTCCATACATATGTATCCATCATCTATTTTGGTGCTTGCTATTCATTTCATGTCCTGAATCAGAAACACTGTGAACCTGAGACTTAGAACACATTTCATGTATATAGGTGTGCTTAAAATTGTAAACCAAAGCTCATGTCTAGTAATATAAACAAAATTACCTTGTTAGTTATAGTGGATGATGTAAATTGTAAACTAAGTGATTTTAAAGAGCTTCTGTCACAAATTAACTACATCAAAAACCACATATCTACCCATGAACTGCTATCAATTCGACTACAAGATATTACCAGGATAACTTGATCGATAAGAATCAATCCCAATCGTTCAACTACACTTCTTTTAATGAACTCTAGACTCTAGTCTTGAAAGGATCTTAGTGCTTGTGATTATTTTATTATGCAGCGGTTTTTTTTTTTGAGGGCGGGGGGGGGGGGTGGCATTTATCTAGTTATGGATGTTTCCGAATAAGGTTTAAGCAAATTTCCTTTTCTGTGACAAGCATGAAATGAATGTCTAAAGACCATTTACTTTTAACATCAAAGTCCTTCATGTAGATTAACAAAGACATTGCCACTTATTTTATTTTATTTTTGTAACAACGTCCATCAGTAATTTTTTACTCCTTGCTGACATGGTTATTTAATATTTTTCTTTACTTACTGCTTAAGGGCATTCTGAAATTTTTTTCCACAGAAAATTATTGACTTTTGAACATGAAATTGGAACATCTCATGGACATCCAATGAATTCTTTATGATTCACTATGGATTCATTTCTGAAAATCCTTCGTTAAGTTTAGCAAACCTGTTGTTTACATAAGTGTAGCAAACCTTTTCTGCTATCGAGCATTTTGAAATAGCACAGATGCAGTCCAGCACTACGCTATTTCAATATAATGAGTGATAATTTGAAATAAGGTATGTTATTTCTATAACATATGTATTTTGTTAATAAATATATGCTATTCCAATATAAGTTTGTACTTTCTAACCATTTAGATATATTAGATTAAAAAAATTTCAACGTTCATATGGCTTTGTGATTTGTGTATAATTATCAATCATACCTGAAAATTCGAAACTGGTTGGAGAACATGGGATTTGGAAAAGAGAACCATCTCTCCCTCTTCATTGCTTGTTAGTAAGTTACTATAGCTAGGACTAATTTTCAAAGTGTCATGTATTTTGAATTTTGAAATACAGCTCTTATTTATAAAACTTATTGTGGATAGTTCTATATTTATTTTTAATAAAATACATGTAGCATATGCTATGTGTTATGTCATATTTGCTTTAAGCTGCCGAGAGACTGAGTGCTACGTTACACAATATCACTAGTTTCAACGTTGAGTTATATCTGGAGGATGAAATGATACAACTTTCAAAAATATGTTGGGAGAATTACATGTTAAGCAATATAATTACTCCTACACACCTTCTGATTCAGACATAATCAAGTTTCAAGGGTGTACTTGCTACAAAAATCACTAAAAGTGACAAGTAATAATCATAGAAAGAGTGCTAAGATATTGAGATCCTTTTTTGGCAAGGGCTCATTATCTGATAATTCCTCAATAATGGCTTCATATTCAATCCTTACTTATTGGTAATTGTCTGCAACTAAATTGGAGCACAAATCAATTTTAAAACTTTCTCACTTATTAATCTCGAACAGGATCTGACCATATAAGTCTGAATATATGATGGCCAGAGTCTAAAGCAATCCCCGTGGAACTCACGTGTGTGTTTGTGTGTGTGTCTGTGTTGTGCGTGCGCGTGTGCGTGTGCAAAAGAACAATAGCCAGGGGATTTGCCAACTGGATAGGACCATTTCATCCACGAGGAAGAAGAGCTGATGGAATAAGAGAGCTACAGAGAAAAGATGTAAACAAACATTTGAAGACAATAGTTTAAAGTCACAGTCAAGTATCGAAAACTACAAATTAAGTATGTAAGTCAAATAAAGTAGCTTTTAAAGACATCAAAAAGAGCTGAATGAATCAAAGACATAAGTTTCTTCATTTATTTCTCAGGTCACCTGACGATAGGCATGCACCATGCATCATCACTAAGAAGTAGATTGTGGTTTTGCATTAGTTACCACTAGGTATGCTCCCAATACAAGAGCAATCTACATAGTGATTGTGGTTTTGCATTAGATACCACCAGGTATGCTTGTAATACAAGAGCAATCTATGTAATATGTACACACTAAGAGCTTCATGTTAGCTATGACATACATAACTATAAATATAAATAAATATTACTTGCGATGCCAATGTATGTACCATCATTAGTTTCAAAGAAAATAAATGCAAAGAATGATTACCCTTGGATAAGTTCACTAATCTGTGGCCATAATTCATCATCCCTCAGCTTGCTGATCTTATTTGATATGGAATCAACAACTTGAATTGCTATCCTTATCTTAGTTGATAATTTTCTGACATCTGCTAGTGTAGCACCAAGCTTTTCAGCATCTGCACCTCTTTCATCAAGGCGTTTCATCTTCCTACATTTTCTATCATGGCATACCCGCATCTTCTCCTCTTCCTGCAAAATTGTACGCACAGGAAACTGAAAAATATAAAACTGAAAGTAGCCAGAACAAAGATAGGCTTGAAACTATACCATTTTTTAGTATTCGACATAACAACATAAAACAATATCAACCACAGATCACCAGTAAGCCACTATTTAAACTTTTTCAAGTTATGTTTCTGTCAGGAAGTGAATTGTGGAGAAAAAGAGGCTGAATAGCAACTGGATAGTAAGAAGACCATGGAACCTGTTTCAGAAACTGTTTGTATTAGAAGCAAGAGGATCAAATCATGTTACTGACTCGTAAACACAACAAACAAACATGACTTGTGAAGAGAACGAAAAATGGACTGCCGAAATTTTTTGAACATTCCCCAGCAACAATATTACAGACCAAGAAATCAAAGTGACCTCTTGAAGCCATATTATAATACTAAATTATACAATTCACTAGGCATTCAATCAATATGCTAAACTCCTCAGCTGTGTCCATTACCCTGAAGTTACTAGTTATTTCATTACTATGAACTCGATTCCCAGAATACCACAGTATATGGTTTTTAGCCACCCTATCGACCTCCTCCATTATAGCGTAACAGAAAAGCAACTGAGCCCAAAATCGACTTCAGAATTAGCAATAATGACATGAGTAAATCAAACATTATCAGCAGCTCTAATCTGCTAGAAACTCCCCAAAGAAAATTGCATGCAATAGAATGAATAAAATACGGTATTGCACTGCAAATCCAACTTAGAAGTACAGAAACATACCCTAACTTCATCATAAAGCTTCTTCTCCCATATGTACAATTGCTGCAACGTAGAAGAAAGATTACCGGAACCCATAGACTTAGCATCTTCAAACACCAAGAACTCATCTTTTGAAGACGGTAGAGCATTTGCACCACAAATTATCCTCGAAGACACTGCTTATTAAAAAAACAACATATAACAAGTAACCAAAACAAATTCAACATAGGCACAAAAAGAAAAGGCAGGTTCTTTTTACCTTTATACACAGAATTCCTCTTGTTGTATGGTTGTTTCCCCACCTCAAGCATCTTGGAGAGTTCAACAGCAGATTCTGACGCCCTATCAAACTGCGACTTGACCTCCTGCACAACCTCAGGCAAACTGTGGTATCTCTTCAAAGGAACTGCAGCCACATTCTTCTGCTCCTCTGGCTCCTTCACCTCATTAGCCACCACATTCTTGTCCACTACAGTAGCCACATTCTCTTCACTGGGACTTGCATCCACCGACCTCTTCTTGAGCTCCGGCAGCTCCTCTTCTACTTCACTAATCACACCCGGTTTACTCGAATCAGGGCTCGACCCAGAAGAGCTAGCAGCCTTCTTATCAGCATAAACTTCCTTCACAACCTCATTCTCTTCATCCTCCAGATCAGGGATCCCTTCCTCCTCCCTCACATCCTTTGAGCTCCTGCTCGGAGTATACGGTGCAAAATAACTCCCGTAAGTCTCAAATGGGTTAAGGAAATCCCAAGTAGAAACCCTAGGCGGCGACGGGGGTGGAGGAGCCGCCTTTTCCACCGGCGAAGTGGGACCCATTCCTGTTCGAGCTGGGGGCATTCCCGCCGGAGGCGAAGCTGACCCAAAGTACCCACCCATTTCACCATAACCACCATAATTTGAAGGGTAACCATAATTATAAGGATAAAAGTTAGGATTTTGCTGCGGCGGAGGATAATTATATCCATAATAATTATAAGAAGACGAAGAAGAAGAGGCCTCTCCGCTGCCAAAATGGATAATTTCCGGATTCATCGGCCGCTGCTCATGCGAAACCGAGGGATTTGGGGGCTGATTCTTGGCGTAGTGAATAGTGTGCTCCGGTGGCGAAGATTCCTCATGAAGATGGTGATGAATCGGCGAATCCTCATCCGAATGCAAAGGGAAGCCATCATCCTCCTCCTCAGATCCCAGGCCCTCGGAATCATCAGAATGAAAATGTATGTGCGATCCCGACCCCGAGTGACCGAGCTCGTCGGCCGCCGAGATC